ATGCCGCCCATAGGTGAGCCATTCATACCCCCCATGCCGCCCATAGGGTAACCACCCATATTTCCCATATTTCCCATACGACTAAGAAATTGTTGATAAGCCATAGCAGACTGTGGTGTCCATAGAATACAGACATTCCTTTCAGGTTTATAAGCAGGTCTGGCACCAAGGCCTAGACCAGGTTCAAATCTTTCACGACGCCCATATTCAATTTCACTAACTTCTCCAACGATGTCATTTTCAAGTTGTCCAGCGACTTCATTTTCAACTCTTCTAGCTGCTCCAAGACGATCTTGAAATATTCTATATGTTCCAAGTTTATTGATAAAAGTGCGGTGCATTTTTTCTTATATCAGAGATACAAGAAAATGTGTAATATATATAGGGTTATAGAGTTGTTGTTTTGGTGTACAATTGTGGTCTAATAGTTATGCAATTAAAAACTGACCATACATGTGGTTACACATTTGTATCGATGAGAGAGAGAGAGAAAAAAAGTGTTATGCAAAATCATGTACTATTACTTATTTGAAACATGAAACAATATGCTTGAAAAACGTATAAGTTTAAGTAAAATGTTTTTTTTGTCAGATTTCAAAAAACATACAATAAAAACTAAAATGAAGAGAAGAAAAATACATCATTTCATTTAATTATGTTGACATCAAAAATATAACGTTGTTTTACATAATAAAGCATAGAATTAATAAGTGAAACAAGAAGAACGAAGAGCAATTATGCGTATCATTATAGATGTTTCGAGCGCTTCAAATAAAAACAAAAACAAAAAACTACAAAGTATACCCATATTAATATATCTTGAGAGTATGACTGTGGATGTAAGTAAGGGATGTGACTGCAGATGTTGGTAAAAGATAATCATAATACCCACGCCCTCAATATTTCTAATTTTATCTGGAGTGTATTTAAATTGACTTATTGTCGATTAGATTTCCAAGATGATTCTTATATACTAACGGTAGTTTCATCATCTCTGAAATTTCTCTTAATCTTATGTCGATATTGGCAAGTGAGTGAAATCACTGATCTTTTTTAAAGAATATCTTATCTTCGTTTACTTTCCAATAGATTAAATAGGATGTGGGTATTGAATTCCTCGAAACCCATACCCACATCCTTGGACGAGACTGTGGAAGGTAGACATTAGATATGCACCTACATCGTCAAGATACGTCTGATAAAAGATATGTTCAACATTCAGAATTTGTAAAAATTGTTTTTTTAATATTTATATTGTAGATAACAAAGAACTGTCGAGAATTTTCCCGTTAGTCCTAATAATGAAGCAAGGTGGCGAATGTAAGATTTTCACTTGCCAACATCTAAATTGCCAAAAAGTACTAGTAAGATCTTCATTTATAAACGATTCATCACCTTTGATAGTTATGTTTAGATTAATTAAATGTTGTCCCCATTGATCTATCATTGATTGCCAAAAGATGGGATCACATAGCTGTTTTCGAATCTTGTCATCATAATTAGAATAATCAGATGGAGAATTTAAATAGAATTGTTTTAGATATGGACACGCACGAAGAATATATTCGATAGAAATTGGTTCACAATAACAATTCTTAAGAACAACAATATGCATATTGAGAGCACATGGAAATACGATTGGGTTTTTGCTTGGATAACGATTTTGACGATCATCATCATCTAACACACCGACGAACTGTTCTACATGTAATACTTTTAGTTGGGGTGAATAACGAAAGAGATGAAGAAGCCAAATAATAGAATAAATGTAGCCTAGCTTAAAATATGTGATTGTTGATATCGTTGGAGTTAACAATCCGAATGCTTGATGGTTGTAATCGGTATCCATGATCAAATAACGAAGAGAGAGAAATTTATTCGAACAAAACTCATGTGTTGGACACCAATGTTTGAAGTAAATATGTTCATTTTTATGACTATTTATGGTTGTTCCTATTGTATCTACATCGATAACATAAAAAAAGACTTATGATGATGTTTCAAAAAATGATAATAGAATCAATTTTAACATTATAAGAAATGTTTTTCGCTTTTTCTTATTGAAAAAAATAAAAATATATACATAAGGTTTCACATACCGGCAACATTAACATAGATAAGGGTGCTCTTCAAGCTAGGAAGACGTTCATGCAGTCGATTAATAATTCCATAAGTTACATCGAACAGAGTAAGTGCAGAAATTTTAGAAAATTGCTGCAAGACATCATCATTGTCAAACAGCCATGAACGTGTCTTTTCTAATTTTCGTGATGTAAAAGATAGAATTTGATGATGATTGAGTGAGAGAACAAATGAAAAAAATTCATTTAGTGGAATAGGATCAAGATCAAAATGAACGCGAACTTTAGTAAGTAAAGAATTGAAACGATTGTTCAATTGTCTGAAAGTTGAATGAAGTTGATAGGCATCAAAATATTCGAATATATTAAATAGTAATTCATTTGATAAATCTTCAAAAATTGTAATTGTAATCATTTTTTTTTCTAAATTTGCTGACAATTTCTTATCTGATGACGACCAATCTGATGATTCAAGTTGATTGGACATTGATAAGTATAAGACTCTTTTTCAGTTGTCAAATAGGATATCTAACTAGACTCGTAAATAATTCTTTTACTTTACACTTACTAAATTTTATCCGCAAAAGCAAACGAGTCTTGCATCGAGTAATATGTAAAAAATAATATGAAATAAATGCAAAACACGTGTTACTTGTTGTGTGATGGAGATACGAGCACAGAATAGAAAAGAAAAAAGTCACTATTATATTCTGAAGCCATTTTTCAATGACATCGTACTTATTTTTACTGTTGCATTAAAATCATCAAAAAGTAGTTTTGTCAATTATCTACTAGAAACGAGAATTTAAATCGTAAAGAATCAAAGAATATTGAATTGTGACATATACTTGATCGAGACTGTAATATTCATAATAACCCCAGAGAGTGTGGGTTTATCATTTCTTTATCAACGCACACACTCACATCCTCAGTTATATCAGATCAAAGTAAATAAAGACATAGTTTTGTGACAATTTAAAAGTGAGTATACATAGAAGATGTAAATGTGTAATTTATATGAAATTGGTTTTATTTAAAAAAAGTTAAATAGTACGAGTAGTCATGTTGAGAAAAATCGCCGTTGTTTGATCATTTAGATCAAAAATTTTTGGCATCCATGTATTGGCAGCTAGAAAGATGACTAAAAAGCCAATGAGATTCATCACTATTCCAGTTTTGATCTATAGATTTAAAATGGAGTTCAATATTCGATTAAAATAAATGTAGAACTTACCATATCAATGACACGAATAGCACCACTAGCAAAAACAATGGCATTTGGTGGTGTAGCTGTATAGAATGAAAACTGGACTTTATTTTATATCATTTCATGCCAATACTTACCGATGGGCAACATAAAGGCGAGAGAAACAGCCAGTGTACATGGAAGTATAAGAAAAGCTGGATGTATGCCACTTGAAGTTGCCTAATTATATCAATAGAAACAAATGTAACATGAATATTTATATGTCAAATGTCATCTAGATTTTTCGCAAATAAGCTATTAGTTAACTTACCACAGAATCAAGTACAGGAAAAAAGATGGTTGCCGTACTTAAATTCGATGTCACTTCAGTGAAAAAACCACTGATAACAACAATGATTATAATAGCTGCAGCTTGTGGCATATTGGAGATAAAACCAAGAGCTTTTGCTACGCTTTCTGACAGCATTGATGTCTTAAAAATTAAAAGATACATACGTATTATGCAATTCTCTTAACTTCAACATACTTGAAAAGCAGAGGCCAATGAAAGACCAGCACCAAGGAGAATTATTGCACCCCATGAAATATTCTGTACTAAACTAGTCCATTTGACAATTGGTTCGTATTTCCAATCATTTCGTCCTTATAAAGAAAAGCATTTATTTTAATTGTCAACTAGAAAAATATCTTACGATTAAATGGATTGCTATCAGGTAGGATTAATGGAAGTATTCCACAAAACATTGCTACAGTCCCATCACTGATATGACTACAATAAATCATGTTTTTATTATATTTAGTTTTTTTTTCGAAAATTATTAAACAAATACTCGCGTTTAAATATCATACTCCATCCTGTTGTATCAGAAAACTCTCTTGTTACCCATAGAACAATCAATATAATGAATATAATACCTACGATGAGTTCACTCCATCTGCAAATTAAAATAGATATATATATATATGCATTTATAAACCAAAATTATTTACTTCGGTCGTCCAAGGTCTCTATATTGTTTCGTTAGTAATGCCTTCAGCTTAACTTGAGATTTTCGTGTTTCAACAGAGGGTCGACATTGAAATAGCCTATAAATAGATTAACTAATGTTTTTTTTCCCATCTAGTACTGTGTTGGAGACAAACTCTTTTCTGTTATAACACAACTGTAACCATAACCAACAGAATATAAGCATTAATATTCCAACCGGTAAAGCAAATAGTAGAAAATTGAGGAAGTTTATACGAAAGTTAGTACCATTGTATTTACTATATTATATAAAATCTAGTAAATTTATTCTTTCTATTCTCTATAATTACCTATCTATAAAACCTTTAAGATAAATATTGGGTGTAGTACCAACTAAACTAGATAGTCCACCGATAGATGATGAATAAGCTATGGCAAGAAGAAATCCTATTAGATAAAATTATGCATCAAATAGAGTTAACACATATTCATCAATTGGAAACAAAATCACCTTTCTTCAATTGATCATTCTTTTTCGTATCTGTATTGTTCAGTTTAACTTCTTGTTGCCTAAAGTTTAGTATATAATGTTCAGCTAGTATTTATTAATACATACATTTCTGGTGCTCTATGAAATGAAAAAAACAAGTATTATATATTATATGAGAATGTTTAATTTCATATGCTTACGATAGTTCCATACATTGATCAGGACGATCGATCTCGTCAGGTTCTGTGATATTAAATGCATCTAAACATGTTTACATGTATATAGTACGTAGTATAAGTAAGTATTGATTAGTATACTACCGTTTATAATAGTTGTTGTTTGTATATTACTTTGTCGTCTATCAAGAGAATTTTTGTTATAGACATTGAGTTCATCGACGATAGCCAAGGCTACAGGCAACATAATCGATGTCGATGCAGTATTATTCATCCACATTGAAAGAAATGCTGTTGCTCCCATTAGACCAGCCATAATCCTAATTATTCATTACAAGAAATTAACATCTGAGAGTTGAATAGATTTTAAAATCTCAAGCTTATTAAGAATAGTACACGTTTTTATCAACTTCCTTTAAAAAATACTTTCATACCATTTAGTTCCCGTACCAACCCAACTTAAAACAAATAAAGCAATACGACGATGAAGATTAACCGATTCGACAGCATAACCAAATGCCATACTACCGAAAAAAAGTGCAATAATATCTTTGAAATAGTGGGGTGCCACTACTTCTGCAGTTAAAACACCAGCCTAAGAATAAAAAAATATGTTAACAATTCAAACCGGTTGAAATATTTTGTTTTTCTCAAATATAACATCTACTGATACTTTTTGATCCTATCAAAGACTGAGATGGGTTAAGTATAAATTTCCTTCATCACGATTGTAATGACTTAATCATTTTTTATATTTTAACACTTCGTTTTTCTTTACCATCGGAAACAGGATCAGTGGTAATAGAGAAGTAACTGGTAAAGGTATTGCTTCAGTAATCCAATATATGGAGAGAATAATTACAACATAGCCGCATCGTCTTTGCTAGAGAAAAAAGAGTATGAATGTAAACATATTTTAAGATCAATAACACACACTGGTTAACGTACAGGATTATTAATAATAATAGGTAATGGAAGTAAAATCAATGGTGTTAGAATTACTAACAGTAAACGCCATCGTTGTTTTAACCAAGTAATTATTGATGCATTCATGATTTATTCAATGAACAAGAAGAATGTAGTATCGATCGTCACACGTAAACCGTAATGTTTAAGTGATGATTTCTTGTCTATATTAGTTTAATACGATAGATTCTTTAGAATTTTTGAAATAAAAAAATAACATGGTTATTATTCATTGGTTAAGCAATACATTACAAGTTTTGTCTATTGATTTTGTTTTTATCTCCAAAGCAAAATTGCATTGATTAATCTTTCTTTGAAATGTCTCATTTGTCATTCAGTAAATATAAATATATTCTCAAACCTGTCGAGATTAATCTAATAGCTAATACAAGAATCGTGTTTTATCACTATTTCAATTGTTTTGTTAAAAGAGAAAGTATCAAGCAGATTATATACTCACACAACCGATGTATTCATACTATTATATAGAAAGGTGAATAAGTGAAGGGCGTTTTATTTGAACATAAGTTGCATCTTAATAATAAATCCTTTGAAAAGTTATTTTTATATAACATTAATTAGTGGCAAGAAAATGAGATTACAGTCAAGATGCAACATTTTATGAAGACAAAACATAATAGATAATATAAGATATACGAACAACTCATATTAATAATTATTCTTCAAATTTTCATTCAAAAATCACTCATTAGATTTGATCTTGTCATAAAAAGATACTTTTCTTTAAATCTTCTACTTATTATGGTCAATCTTCTTCAACCGACTGATTATTTATTGATATTTGAAAATAAATAATATTTTTGCAGCTTTATTTATAACATAGTGGTAATAAAAAGTCCATTGTAATCAAATAATTGATACAAATAAACACTCTAAGGAGTTAGATAAGAACATTTCAAATAAAAGTCATTTGAATATACTTGATTTACCTAATGAAATATTACTCATGATTATCAATAAGCTGACTTTTATCGATGCTTTTTATTCACTTGTGGATATTAACGAACAATTTGTTCAATTAGCACTTAATTCACTTTATGTTTATCATCTTGATGGTTTCAGTTAGTTCTTGTTGTGACGAAAGAGAGAAAGAATTGTTATATATTTTTAAAGGATAATGATAAGTTTGAACAAAAATTTTCTAATTCATTGAGTTACATACAACAACTTTACAATACAATACAAAAGAAGTAGTTTTGTAGTGTCTGTTCAAACATCTTCAATCAATGGGTCAATATATTTTGCATAAATTCTTTTTCATACTCTAAATCATTAGTTTAGTTAGTGACCGGCAGGCATAGTTATACCGGTACCAGAATGATATCTAACAGGCGCACCTGTATTTCTTGTTACTGCAGTTGTATTGTCATCTCTTCGGTGATGTTTCATTAGCAATTTTTTAACATTAATTCGAAACGCTTTAGAATGTGCATAGTAAATATAAAAACTAGCAGCTGTATATGTCTCGTAGAAAACAAATATAATTGATTGAGATAGATTTTCCATAGCCATTCGTAAATCACTCTTCGACAACTCATACGTCACCGTTATATAGAGGTTGACTGAAAAGAATGTTATAGTTTGAAATAAAAATAAGAGAATTTGCGGTATCAACATTCGTGAAAGTTGACTGTCGAGACGGTGACGTCGATGTGTTTGTTGATGATTTGAAACAATAGCTACATCGTCACCTTGATGAATTGGATGAATATGTTGAAGATTTCGATAAGTTTTATATCCGAATACAGAGAGTATAATGAGAGGAACGAATGAAAACATTACAGGTATGAGAAAATAAGAAGCATATTGTAAATAAATTTCATTATCAATACATTGTTGAATGTTTGTATCAATATTCCAATAGAGAATATCTGGAATCGCAAGAAGAAATGAACAGAAAGTGACAATTACAACTGAGATTTTGGCAACTTTCATTGAACTCCATTTTCTCAATTGTATTCGACGTGATGAACATAAGTAACGATCGATAGAGGCCAAACAGAGCATTAACGTTGAAATTAGATTTGTCGTATCGGATGCCCAGTTTATTAATTTACACCAGACAAGATTTGTTTGTGTTCCATTTTTCCCGTAGATAAGGCCAACAGTTGCTGGCAGGACATAAATAAGAAGGGTTAAAGTGTCGGTAATCTCTGCAGTAAGTAAATAGAATGAACAAACATTATTTTTAAGTTTTGTAAGAAACATGATAATGCTAAGAGTATTTCCGAAGATACCCATAACGAGAATAATACTATAGCCATAAATATAAATTTGAGTACTAGTGTAGTTGAGAACGTCTGCCAGAGACATTTTTCGTAGTCTTCGTGAGTATTCTAGAAAAATACAGAAGAACTTCTTCATCTTCTGTCTATTATTCGTATCAACATTATGAATTGAATAGTGAAACAACATCAAACAAGGGGTGATGAAGTGTTTGCGGGTAGAAATTTGTACTCACAAACTATGAAACACCCACCTGTTATCATTAAAAGATACTCCGACAAGAAATTATAAATAAAGAAACATATCTAATCTTTCTTTCTAGAGTAATTAAAGTCATGAATATATTAAAAGATCTCATCTAATTGCGATATATAAGACATTACTCTGAATAAATGACTCTAAATGTAAATCAGAAGACTCATTCATTTCCTATGGTAAATCTTTTCGAGCGAGTCGATGGATTTTCGAATCCATACTTCTTTTATTTTTCTAAGAAAATAAGAAAAAATGACAAAAATTTCATGTCTTACCCATTTTTTAGTACATATCTGACTCTTACTTTGTGATTTTTATTCAAGAGATCTCTAAATATGAACAGATATTTCAAACTAAAAATTCTTTTTTTCGGGTATTATTGAAAACTATAATAGAAATATTTTAAGGACATGATTCTTCATACTCTACAATATTAAAAGACAGACAGAAAAGAAGATATAATATATCTGCTTCTCTATGTTATTAAGAATTATAATAGGAGTGTTCTCAACAGATACTTATTCATACTTCACAATATTAAAAGATGAGTAGAAAAGGGGAAATTAGAAGTCTATTCCAAAGATTTAACTGTAAAGAAAAGAATTAAAGAAGAGAAGACAAGTTGCTGTTATTAAGTGTGGCCGTTTAATATATAGTTAGTTATAGTGAACCCAAATAGAATTCTGATACTAACAGTGATATTGAAAATTAAGTGAAAAGTATATATGATACTGCTTGAAATTTTAGAATATGAACGATATTTTGTAAACATAAATACTCTGATCTTTGTATTGTTCTTGACTCTCTATAATGGAGTTCAACCAGTATTAGGTATTACCGTTTTCGAGCATCATATCAAAATAGAACTATTTGTAATTATGTTCTGTATTTGATGTCATTCTATATATAATATCATATATTTTCAACTCTTTGTCAGGAACTACTCATAAAAACATGCATAATTTTTCTAGAGTTAAACGAGTAAAGTAAAACCTAGCAACATTATACAACTGCTACGTTCAAAAATTAAAGAATATCATCAATTTATTTCTGCATAAATTTCGTTTATAGCAATTCTTTGCTTAGAATTTCTTGTGTATTCAAACAGTATTTGTCAATAGAAATTTAAAAGAAATAAAAGAGAGTTAATACAGTGAATATACGCGTTTTGCTTGAGTAAATGACAACAAAAAAAGTTTTGAAATACTTCATACTAATTTTTAAGAAATCGAACGCCAAGATAAGCGATAAATCGACAAAAGATGATGAATGCCAGTAATGCTCCAATACAACCACCAATATTGATATAGTCTAGACCTAGCTGTTTGATTGTCGTTTCACCATTCGGGATACAAGTACTTGTAACCGCATCTGCACATGACAGAGTAAGACCTTGTAATTCATTAAGACTCACACCAACATATGTATACTTAGCATAAGATAATGCATCAAGCCATGAAAAGTATTTTGGTAAATTAGCTGGAGATAAAAAGAAACCACCAAAAAGACGAGACACTTCAAGTGCCATCGGTAGAATTGTTACACTCATATTGACCGTCTTGCATAGGGCAGAAATCATTAGTGCTAATGATGTTGCCGCTAGAGAACAGAGAGCCATAAAAAGCATGAAAAGAAAAAATTTGCCCGGTAACGGTTGTAATCCAACAATAAAATAGACCACACATGACTAAAAATTTTGATGAAAGAAATTAGAAAAACTTTAGACAGTATAACTTACAAATATAATGGGTACAGGAATTTGAACAAGTGTATCGGCAATAATTTTAGCAGTAAAGTATGCACTAGATAAATAAGTACCAGAAGCTCGTTCGCGTAATGTCAACGCACGTTCCATTGGAAACGAATTAATGACCATCAATGCACCAAATATACCTTGGTTGACAACACAAAAGAAGAGAACTGGTTGACGACGAACAGTACTCGTTTGTGATTGACCTATCTGTAAAAACGCTGTTCCAATTAAAACAGCAATAATGACTGTTTGAATCAAGGATGCTATTATGACTTGAGATTCACGTAAATGTGCCTGAAAATCACGGCGAAGAAGAATACGCACTTGTTTGTGCCATATAGGATTAAGTGGTAAATTAGCCATTTGAGCAAGCCGTTTATGTGCACCCATATTTAGATCAATTGTTATAGGTGTTTGTGCAGCAGTAATCGCTTTATCTGTGATAGCTTGCTGTTTAGGTGAAACAATTGCTTCGTTATGCTTTGCTGATGGATCACGCTTAGGCGGTGTAATCACATCAAGAAGATGATCGGCTGGATTTGTATATAACGGGCATGGAAAACCCGCTGCTCGAAATGTTTCCTGAAAAGAATTCAAAAGAAAAACATAAAAAGATCTAATAACTTTTTCTTACCATGGCTTGGTTTCTTGGACCTTGATAAATAATATTTCCTTCTTTGAGTAGAATGAGTGAATCAAACAAATTGAAGATTTTTGATTGAGGCTGATGAATTGAACAGACAATTGTCACTGCTTTTTCTTGTGTTTTACCATGAGCAAGTGAATGAAATGTTTGTAGAAGATCGAGTGCTGTCACAGAATCTAAGCCCGATGTTGGTTCATCAAGAAAAAGTAATTGTGGACGATTAAGCAACTGCATACCGACACATAAACGTTTACGTTCACCACCTGAAATACCTTTTTTCATCGGCGTACCAATCATGACATTTCGAACATAACTCAAGCCCATATCGATCATGACATCTTCGACTCGTGTACGTCGTTGTTTATTTGTAAATGTTCGTGGTAGACGAAGTTCAGCTGTGTACATCAATGTTTCTTCTACAGTCAAAGATCCATTGAGTAAATCATCTTGCATAACATAGCCAGCAATACGTTTCAATTCAGCATTATTATAAGGAGCCCCATTGAGACGCATTTCACCTTGTGTAATTGTATTCACATCCAAACGACATGCTAATGTATTCAATAAAGTTGACTTGCCAGAGCCAGATGGACCTGTATTTTCAAATAATATATTACACAAAAGGAAAAAGAAAACGTGACTTACCCATAACAGCCCACAAACCACCCGTGATAGCTCCACTTACATTGTTAAGTAAACATTTTCGTTTAGGAACATATCTATTACAGGATCTAACTTTTCGAAAAAATTCTGTAGTCTTATCTTCACGAGATAATACAGTTAAACGTTCCCAAACAAGAATTGTACTAACACGATCAGATGTTGGATCGAGTAGAGACAATTGTCGTTCAAATGGTCTAACACTCATTGATTGATGTTGTTGTTGTTGTTGACTATGGTTAGACGCAGGAATTGATGTAAGACGTGTCACCTCCAAGGTAAGAGAAAATGGTTTTCTCGACATCTCTGAAATCTGTGATGGAAGTTTAACATCGATTTCATTTTCATCAGTAATCGGCAAGAAAACATCAGTTCGATCTCGAACATGATTTCCATAAGAAGTGTATTCCATCGTAGATCTATAAAAAAAGTAAATGTCAAATAGAAATGTCAAGTTGAATGAAATAATTAGGAAATTCGTTTTCTATTAATAGCTTGAAATATACAATAAGCAACTTCGTTCTCTCATTAAATACGGTATGAATTCTATTCAAGGTAATCAAAGCAATAATGAGCGATTTTTTTTGTTTCGAATATGGATGTCCTTGTCGTTGATTGCAAAAAAACAAAAGTAAAAGCCTTTTCTCACCTATGTCAACAGGATGCAAAAGAAATTTTTTTATTCTGCTTGTATAAAGATATATTGCTTCTTTCTAAATAGAACAAACTTGACTGAAGTTGATGCTAAAAATCTGTACTGGTAAACAAACTAGTTTCTATTCTTGTTTGTAATAAAAAGCAACGTATGAATAATCGTTTTTCTTTTCTTTTCGACTGTATGTAAAAGAAACAGAACTGGTTTCGAATCAGGTACACACTTTGCTTCTACGGCTTATTCTTGTTTAAACGATAATACGCCGATGAAGAAAAAAACGTTAAGATGTCATACTGTGAGCAACAATACTCGATCAGTTGATATGTTTTGTGCACAATCTGCTGAAAAAGCTGACTAAGAGTGTAGATGTGGATTTCTTGTCTTTACTCTCACTCACACTTATATCCGTACTCTTTTAGAAAAAAACATAAAATAAATTGCTCTTTGAAAATTGTAGAGCTCTTCATATTGTTAATGAACAAACAAAAAACAAATTTGTCTGTATTAACAAAACCACGGTTTTTGCATGGTCGAGTTTAGTCGTTCAATATTTTGTTTTTGCAATCCGATATATTTAAGTGAATGAGAACTGAAAAACAAAGTGTCACTATTAAATCTATCATACTCATTATTTTTTGTATTCATTTAAAAAGTAAGTTGATGAAGTTCAATCAAATAATAAAGATATATGGAGAATGTGGGTGACAGTCTTTACTTTATTCATATCCACATCTACATCCATCAACCTTTTTATAAAATTATCAAATATTTTAAGACGCGAGTCTTCAAAATTTTGAGGGTGTGAAGATATGGCTGAGAGTGTTAAATGAAACGACTGTCTACACCCACACCCAGTTCTGTGTATAAATCATGCATGCTTTTCAAAGATTAATCACTCATTTAACTTTGACCCATTGAAAAGTGCTTCTTTCATATATTGTTCTTTTGGATATTTTCTGCATCATATGATAGCATGTAATCGGTAAGACAATATGAATGATATAAAAGAAGAATTAGTTTCGAGCATAAAATGTCAACACTGCATTTATAGAATAATTTCCAAAAAAACATTCATTTATTAATATGTGCTCCTATATATTCTTTCTGTTTGTCATCGAGTCCAAAAGAGTCTTTCTCCAGGTCAAACTGTTGACTTGTACCGTAGCCAGCAAGATACGCATTCAGTTTGCTTGCTAGAGACTCATTCAATTCAATTGATTTGAACAATGAGTGTCGCTTGAGATAGTGCTACGAAAGAAATAAAATATACAATTTTTAATTGGAAAACGAAAAACAGGAATTCCATCTAGCTGATCATTACCTCCTCTTTCTGACCGTGCCTGATTTGTTTTGAGTATATAACTAATCTAGGTGAATGTTTCATCATAGACAGAACACGAAGAATGAATAAATTTCTTTTGAAGAAAAACGCTTCTAAGAACTTTCTTTAAGATTTATTTTGAAGGTAAATACATTTTATCAAACATACAACTGAAAACTATTGTCAAGTCTTTTCAAGAATAGAATTATATGCTTCATACATCTTTATCAACAACTCTTACTTTTTGGTGATATTGTTCGGCTCGTGTGAAATCTTTTATCTTGTCGATACGTGTTTGTAACGGACGTGCATAATGTCGCTCTCGTTCTCGTTTGCTTTCTTCTGCTTCCAGACGCTGTTCATCAGTGTGATAGAATATTGCTGATGCATATTGTCCTTCGCCGTATTGACTTAGTGGATCGTGCCAACTCCAAAATGCTTTGAGCAGTTCTCTATATGTGATACGTTGAGGATCAAAATCTATCTGTACACATTCTGAATGATTACCAAGATTTTTATATGTAGGCGAAGCAGGTTTTGTACCGCCCGAATATCCGACACGTGTTCGAATAACGCCAGGCAACGAGCTAAATTGTGCATCGGGACACCAAAAACAACCGAGCGCAAACGTTGCATGTGTCGACATTGTATGTATGAATAATGACGTGGCAATTGAAAGAAGAAAAACGGCGTGAAATTATTTATGTATTCTCACATGGCATCACCCGTCAGAGAAGAACGAGCAGCCTGTATTAACAAAAAAAGTCAGACAGACTCTATCAACTTCACAATTGAATAAAAAAATTCTTATTTCTGACAATTAGGATGTCATTAGATGCCTTAAGATTTATTTGAACTGAGAGGAATAGTTTCGATCAAGCATATTATTTCTTTATTGTAGTCGCTCGAACAATATACCACAATTGTGCTTTCTTTTTTTCAAAATATTTCGCTATTCCGATTATAAATTGTAGTTGAAAATATTTTTTTTCTCTTATTTTTTGATGATAATGTCAACGAAATAGAGATGAAAAAGAAATGTTCACATTTCTATTGTCAATTGGAATAGTTACATGAGTATGATAATACAAAAAACAAAACAAGTAGAAAATCAATAGAGTTCGCAATCATTATTGTTCATCAGGTTGATCAGTATCGTTGAACTCCGATTGATTTCCAGTCCATATCTGGCGAAATTTAATCAAAAATAAATGATTATATAAAAAGTAATTAAATAAATGAATACTCACAGTGACATTATCGCGAAGTAGCTGCATGATAAGAGTAATGTCTGAAAATAAATGGAGAAAATAATCAATTGCTATCGATTATTGATTTTTGTTCTTACCTTTGTAAGAATCTTCAGAGACGTAATCTAATCCAGCTAAAGCAGCGTCAAAAGCCTATGACATTGACATTTCGTTAGATAAAGAAATGAAAGACATCAATTTAAACAAACCTCTTTAGCCATACGACAAGCGACATTTGTTTCATCAAGTATTTCATGATGAAAAACTGAGAAATTTAGAACAAGACCAAGACGAGTTGGATGTGTGACTGTCATTTGATCTATAGCTATTTCAAAACCATTCTTATAGGCATGTTTCGATTCTTCCGCCAATTCTATATAGTAATCAAAATCAATATACATAACTTATTTTCGATTACAAATCTATACGTTACTTTGTCGTTCACTGTCAGTAGCAACCTCAGCTAAGTATCGATAACAGTCACCTTTCATCTTCAAATAGAATACATGCGATTCAGTTGCTGTCGCTTTTGAAATAAGATGTTTATCAATTAATGTCTAAAGTTAGAAAATTTTGTCTCCAGAATGATGACTTACAAAATCGATCTTACTAAAAGTTCATGACAAACAACTTTCAATTCGTTTTCAATCTTTTGTCGATATTTCGTAGTCAGTTCTTGTTGCTGTTCAGTACCATTAGCTTCCTGTTCAATACTTGATATCGTTCGCCAAGGTGATCGATAGGTGCCAATCACATTCTTGTAAGCAATCGAGAGCAAGTTGCGTTCTTCGATCGTTAATTCACTATTCGATTCAGCAACTATTTTCATAGCATTTACCATGTCAGTATATCTAAATGAAAACTCATGTTTTTGAATCGAGCACAGTATGTTTAACAAATATGGTACCGCTCAGCTTGACCAGCTAATTTCGCGAATTCCACTTGTTCGTTCATATTTGTCATGATTCAATGAAATTAATCGTTGGAATAAAAAGTATGTGAAATAGATTCTTTACCAGCCAGCCAACAGTCAGAAGGCACAGTTACTAAAAATGTAACTAGAGAGCACAAATATGCTAATACCCATTGTAAGAGGAACTGGGCTATTTATACTGTGCCTTCTGCACAATCTCTCTTTCTCTCTTTCTGCATAACGAATATTTCAGTGTGACGTCATACAGAGGCGAATGACGAAACCTACGCTAGTTGTCAAACAGAACAGAACGATCGTTGAATTAGTCATTCAAATACACAGAACGAACATCGGACGGCGCACAAAACATATTGTGCGATGTAGCGTCATTACTTAGTAACCAACTACAATATATTTTATTTCAACATATAACAAAAGAGGGCACTAGTGCAACATCCTTTTTAATGTAATACCTTCACAATAATTAGACATCATTGAATCCACACTGCTACTCATTCCATTCAAATAGTTTCTCTGTCAGTATGACCGTCATTTTGTTTGAAGTTTGTGAAAAACTATGCCTATTCAGTTTTAGCGAGTGATATTCTCTTCAATGTGTAACTGGTTAGAATGAGAACACTTAATTCGTTTTGTTTTCAATCTCACTTTCATTTTTTCTCTGTAGAGAAAAAACAAAACTATATCATTTATTTTCATTTGAGAATACATATCCGTTAGCCAATGAGAGTAGTATTTTAATTTAATCTATTTGATATTTTTGAGTGTTGAAAAAAAGAGATAAGTATAATTCATTACGAAGAAAATCAAGTTGTTCACGTGTTGATATTAACCTGATCATTTTTTATCATTCTCGATATACACCCAAGTTCAAAAAAAACTTGCACAAAATTGAATTTTTTGTATAACGATTTTCTTATCGTTAGAAAGTAATTAAAAGTTTAACTTTTCCAGGGATATATGTACGTTAGTAACACTACACGTTGACTATATAAAAGCGTGAACTCTTTTCTTTTTAACACATAAACATTTAATCATGACATCATCTACTGATTTGAAAAAGCATCATATATTATTATTACATTATTGCAACAACGGTATACGATCTGCTCGTGCTCTCCACCGTGAAACGAAGATACCACTAAGGACTATCTATTACAATATAGATAAGTTGAAACAAATAAATTCACTTAAACACCGAGGAGGAAATGATCGGCCCATTGTCTTATGTCCAAAAGAAAAAAAGCTATTGGTC